CAGTGGCAGGGCTGGCATCGCGGCCTTGTTCGTCGCGGTCCTGGCTGTCGGCGTTGCTACCCTCTTCAGCGAGCAGCTTCTCAACATGCAGCAGTTGAGCTACCTCCAGGCTGGCGCTGGCGTGCTCGGTGTCGCCAGCAAGGTTCCCCAAATCGTGGCTATTTTGCAGGAGGGTGGAACTGGACAGCTCAGTGCATTTGCTGTAAGGACATTTCTTGACCCATCTCCATATACATCTCTCCTTGTGCTTGTCATAATACTGACGCTGTGTTTCTTCTACCTTTTAGGTCTTCAACTACCTCGCCGGATCCCTCTCGCGCATCTTCACCACTCTCCAGGAGGTTGACGACAAGCTCATTCTCTACGGATTCATTGCCGGTTTCGCGCTGAACCTGGTTCTCGCTTTGCAGATGGTATACTACTGGAACGCGCCCTCGGCCAAGGCACGCGGCAAGCAGAAGGTACCTGCGGGCCCGATTCCTGCTGCGGCGTCGTCGTCGGCCACCGCTACTGGCGCTTCTACCTCCTCCGAGCCGAGAGCGAAGAGCAAAGGTCCCACGACCCGTCGCCGCGGTTAGACGGACCAGCGTGTGTTTCCTCTTTCTGGCTGGGCTAGTCTGAGGATGAGGCCGTAGGGGTTGTTTCTAGTTGCCTTTTTTGGTATATCAGTATTTTTGAAATACATGAGCTTCCGATGAATCTTTGGAGTGAGCTGACTTTCCGTCCTGCGGACATTTGTCACAAGAGTTACCCAGGAGCCTTTTGCCGATATCCGATACTCCGTTCATGGAGACTGGAGGGCGTTTGAATGATTTGGTATCTTCAGATCAAATCACCGTCCTGGTCCGATATCTTGCAGTAACAGACACTAGCGTTGGTTCACAGAGACTCCAGAGACCGATCGAGGCTTTATTCTCTGATCCTTGGTCTAGGCTTCGGAAGTGCCACATGACCACGGATTAGCAAATGTTGAGATGGTAAACGGCGGTGACTTTAGACGTCAAAACAAACGGACCAACCAAGGCGCCCAGAGGCTCTCAACCATCTTGTCGTCCAGATTGGGCTTTCCGGGCTGTCATGTGTGAATGTGTCAACAGCGGAACAGAAACACTATGTAAGGTCCAACCAATAAAAATGAATAGCCAATCAGTCTAGCCCAATCAATTGTGGACCCTGCAGAAGCTCGACAAAAAAATCGTCCCTAGTTCACGAAACAAAGAAAAGACACCGGTAAAGTTGCCTGCCAATTTTTGATTTGTTTTAAAAAAATTTTTTTGGCAAATCCGCGGCATTGAGGCACTTGTACGTAATGGCTTTTTGCACGTGTAACCCCAACCCTTATCTACGTCTTCCGTCCGACCTAGAGGGGAAAACTGTCAACTGAACTGTCTGCCGCTTTGACACTTGCTTCGTTTCACTTTCACACGCAACAAACAAGAATTGTATTGCTTTTGCGATACCTATTTCGCAATCTTGTCTTTTATGGACAAATTCTTGCACGGAGCTATCCCTCCCAGAGTGTTCCCGGGATCTTCCAGTCAACTTGATCTCTGAGCAAGTGTTCTGGCATCTGGACTGTCTCCATCACGCCCTTATGCACCACTAGTCGTGGACTCTTTCACTTCCTTGCTCGAACGTATTCACGCGACATGGAAGACGTTAGTTGGGCGCTTCATGCGCTCAGGTCTGCGGCGGTCTCGATCGCGCTATCCTGTCCCCCAATTCGCACGCGCTCCGCTAGCGTCTGCAGTGTTGGCACTTCTGTCTGTCTATCCCCGCCTCAAGCGCTTCTCCCGTTGGGCTATCTCGTTTGTTCCGGGGTATTGATGCCGATATCCCAAGTGGAACATATCGATGCCCGTTCGCGCGATGGAACCCCCCGGTGAGGATCAGGGTCTCCATCCGGTGCAACCCTACACAGATGGCCGGTTGTCGGTCGGTTGATGGGATTAAAGAGAGGGGAAAAAAAAAAAAAAAAAGCTGCGATGATAAATGGTGTATATTGCCCTCGTGGAGTTTTGCAGTGCCTGAAGTGCCTTTCATCCCGTCCCTCGATTGCGCCATTGCTCGACATCAAGGCTGTGTATGCGGTTGAGCGATTGCGTGCTCAAGTCGACCCCGATTTTCGTACGTTCTGACGTGCTCACCTCCAAATCACATCCGCCATATCAACTAAGGTAGTCTCAGACGTCGATATTATCCACCATCCATCTCCTTCGCCGGGTTCTGACCCCAGGTCTGGGTCCCTCGTCCTTCAGCCTACTTCCCATATAAGTGGGGGTTCAGCTTCTCAGCTTCTCTAAACTTCTCTTCAAGCCTCATTGACCGGCCCAAGCTCTCCTGCTCACCTTACTGAGAACCCTATCCTTCACCTCACCCCATCACGTATAAGTCAAAACCCGCGTCCTTCACACCAGACTACCATGCCAGCAGCTCTCAACTCCCAACCGGGCTCGCCGGAGCCTACGCCTGTGAACGGTGTTAGCAACGGCAATGGCTATACCAATGGCAACGGTCATGCCAATGGCAACGGTCATGCCAATGGCAACGGTCATGCCAATGGCAACGGTCATGCCAATGGCAACGGTCATGCCAATGGCAACGGGATTGCTCCAGGGCAGGACAAGGAGAAGAAGCTGAACATCTTGTACATCATGGCAGATCAGCTCGCCGCTCCTGTGATGAAGATTTACAACCAGGATTCCGTTGTCAAGACGCCCAACATTGACGCCCTGGCCGCCAAATCAGTTCAGTTTGACTCAGCATACTGCCCGTCGCCGCTCTGCGGCCCTTCGCGGATGAGCATGATCACGGGTCTACTGCCCATGAAGATCGGAGCGTATGACAACGCGGCCCAGATCTTGAGCGACACCCCTACCTACGCCCACTACCTCCGTCGTGAGGGATACCAGACGGTTTTGGCTGGAAAGATGCACTTCGTGATGGACCAAAAGCACGGGTACGAGAAGCGTCTTACCACTGACATCTACCCCGGCGACTTTGGCTGGGCAGCCGACTGGGATGCGGATATCGAGAAGCCCGAACAAAGGCTAGAGTGGTACCACAATGCGAGCTCGATCGAACAGGCTGGTGTCTGTGTTCGCAGCAACCAGCTTGATTACGACGAGGAGGTCATGTACAAGTCAACACAGTTTCTACATGACCACGCTCGCGGTGCCAAAGATCAGCGCCCGTTCTGCTTGACGGTACGTAGTAGACCTTTCTTGTCATTTTTTCAGCCTCATAGGGCTGCAGATGGTGTAGTAGCGTGGGGAAAGCATCCATCAGGATCCGAAAAGGGTCATGGTGTGCCCATGATTGGTTAGCTGCCGGCGGGAAAATAAGGTTGAATATGCTAACAGAATCACGCCATTCATAGGTCTCCCTTACTCACCCCCACGATCCTTATACCATCGAAGAGGAGTATTGGGATAAGTACGAAGACGTGGAGATTGATCTCCCCAAGGTCCCCAGGATCCCAAACGAGGAGCAGGACCCCCACAGCAAGAGACTGCTCAAGGTCTGCGACTTGTGGGACAAGAACTTCACAGATGATCAGATCAAGCGTGCGCGCAGAGCCTACTATGGCGCTGTCAGCTACGTTGATGACTGTGTTGGCAAGCTGCTCAAGGTTTTGGAGAAGTGCAGGCTTGCCGACGACACCATCATTGTCTTCAGTGGTGACCACGGAGATATGCTTGGTGAGCGTGGACTCTGGTAAGTTTTAGCTACTTCGATCTTGAGTTTGTACTCCCCCCGATTATGTCGCTAACCCACGTCTTTCACTGATTTCAGGTACAAGATGAGCTACTTCGAGTCATCTGTCCGCGTCCCTCTTCTGATTTCCTATCCCAAGAAGTACAGGCCTCACCGTGTGACCCAGAACGTGTCCACCCTGGACATTCTGCCGACCATGGTCGACCTCATCGGCAAAGAGTTGCATCCCGGTCTGCCGATGGACGGTAAATCCCTTCTTCCATTCCTGGAGGGACGCGACTCAGAAGGTCACGATACCGTCATCGCCGAGTACACGGGCGAGGGCACTGTCAGCCCCATGATGATGATCAAGCACGCGAACTGGAAGTTCGTCATCTGCCCCGCGGATGGCATTCAGTTGTTTGATCTGGAAAACGATCCTCTCGAAGTCAGGGACCTGGCCCCGATTCTCTCGGGCCTGAAGGTTGAGCCGCTTGGAGTTGAGTACAAAGAGAAGGCGGAAGCCGTGTTGGCGGCATTCGAGGCTGAGGCGAGAGAACGTTGGGACTTTGAAAGTATCACGGAGCAAGTCAAGCTCTCGCAGAGGAAACGCAGATTTGTCTGGAGCGCCTTTTCGGCGGCTGGCACAGAGCGTGAGAAGTGGGATTTCAACCCCATTGATGATGGCAGGGAGAAGTCAGTAAATCCGTCAGTCATCCTCTTCTTGCAAGTGAAGATATGCTAACGCAGGTGGTTACTTACAGGTACATCCGCTCGCACATGCCCCTCGACGAGCTTGAGCGTATGGCTCGCTTCCCGCCTGTTGACCGCTATGGCAACGAGCTGCCCAAGGGGGCGCCCATCAAGGTTCACCAAGCTGGTTCCCACGGGGAGTAAGTAAGAAGCTTGATGATTTCGGTGGATGACATGGCGTTTTAAGACATTTGATGGGCGTTCTTTCGGGATGATGGTTCACAGCGACAAAATAACCTGGATTTTTTCGAAAAGTCATGGGTTTTGGAATGCGCATCAGCGACGGGCATCAGCGACGGCGAGCAAGCATTGGCGCAAGAAAGCGCCCTCGTTCTTTTCATCTCGATATCAATAAGCATAGATAGCAAAGCCACTGTAGCATTCAATTGGTATAAATTTCATGTACACATGATTAGTGGAACGTGATCGTTTACAGACTTCATCCTCGCGATGTATCTTACTTTAAGTAAAGTTTTAGAAGTCACAGTAGGTCATCAACAAAAACAGGGGGAAAAAAGACCCAAAAAAGGCAGCAGGAATCAAAAGGAACTTGCGCAGTCCGGGATTCGAACCCGGGTCTTCACTCAGTAATGTCATTGTCATGAGATTGGAACGAACTTGCCCCCAGAGTCGGTCTTGAACAGAGGTTCTCCGGGGATTTCACCCGCAAGTCGAGTGATGCGTTAAACCACTACGCCAACCACGCTTCGTTTTGTTATTGAGAAACAGCACACAAAAAGGTACCTTATGTACCGCATGTAAGGCAAGTGGAAGGCAGTTGATAGAAGGGGGGAAGGCAGGAAGGACTCGGAAGGTACGTTGCAAGCTCTGCTCTAGGCTGGAGTGGAAGGCACGCAATCTTACCTCTACACTAGAGCTTCCGGTCCTGTCGTCTGCTCTTTGCTCTTGCCTGGTCTTCTAGCCGCTGTCTACACTTTTCTTCCTTCCCGTTAGCTGATGAATTCTTTCTCTTCATCGGTTGTAAAGTGACGAACTCGGAAACAGAATGGAATCGATATTCAAGCATCTGCTATGGGATTCTAGACCCTGCCGTGCCTGCCAAGGTCAGGGGTCGCTTTACTGCGTTCGTACGTAACGGCTTTGTTAGCGATCATATAGTGGGGCTGCAGTGGGGCTACACCACAAGTCCAACGTCACTGCGACTCCCCTCTTCGCTGTTGTTGATGGAATTTTGAACCTTTCACGCGTCGATCTGTTTACTTTTAATCCCAGCTACCTCTACAGCCCGAGCTCCCATCACCAATTCACAATTGCGCCTACATACCGAGCCATTCTCATTTCCACGAGACAGGGGTCACGAAGATAATTCCCTCTAGAAATTCAAGCGCGACACAATCCTCTCGCAGTGTCTCGCAAACCACTCGTTCAACATGGCCGACGGCAAAGATTCCCTCCGCTTAGCTCCCGATGAGTTCAAGCAGCTCGAGGTTCTGCGAAACCGCTTCCATCAGCTCACTCACAGTTTGAACAGCGTGTTTAACGATATCCAGAGAAGCCAGCCCCTCCCAAGCCAGTGAGTCGTCGTAGTGCCCGCCCATCTTCCTCCCTCGAAGTCGATCGCGTGCTCATACGGATCTATTTTTCCACAGAGAGTCCCTCACAGCTTCGGCAGCCATCCTCCAAAAGAGTCTCGAAACTATCCAAAAGCTCGCCGACGAGAACTCCGAGTTATTTCAGCGCATCGTCGTCCACCCATCGACAAACTTCCCTGGTCGCAACCAGGAACACATCCTTCTGCAACTACTGAGAAAGAAACTCGAGCCGGAAGTCGAGAGCTGGGTTGAAGATGCGCGTAGCGTAGCAAGGGCCTCCGGTTTGGACCCAAGCAAACTGGCCAGCTCCCAACAGAAGACCAACAGCTACGACGATGACGATGACGACTACCGAGACGAAGAGGAGGACGCGCCCTCGGACCCGTTTAACGAACAGTGGGCCGACATGTTCCAGGTCAGCATGGACAGCATCAGGGATTACCTCATGAACCAAGCGAACGAGCCCTATACGGTCGCCGAGCGCGAAATGGGCGTTGAGAATGTACGCACCGGTCTGAAGCGATCACTGGAGGAGGAGGACAGCGAAGAAGAAGACGAAGACGAGGACGAGGATGAAGACAGGCCGCTTGCTGCCGCTGGTCTCGGCAAGGTTAATGCGGCGAACCTGTTCCATCCAGAGCATGTCCTTTGGCTTACTTCGAGGGGCAATATGAAGGTGAAGAATGTTGACCTGGAGGCTATACGCAAGAGAGAGAAGCCTAGGGGACGTCCGGCTCCCGCGCAATGAGCGAACACGATAACCTCAAGCCAGCTTCGTGTATGATCTAGGAAGCACCAACGGCAATCTCTGCGATCCGCTGTGTTGTATGAGCTGGGAGTAACAAAGTCAATCCGTGGATATGTCCAAGGGACATTTCTTTGCCAGAAACCTTGGTTGTTGAGCGGAACCGATTTTTGAGGCCTTTGGGCATGGTTCATGAGATGGGTTTGGGACATGTTTGTTGCTGCCATGATTATCATGTTACGGTCCAGAAGGTAATATTTTCTTACCTACAGTAGCTGCTTGGTAGCATCCAAGTCTGGAAAGTGAATTCCAGCATGGTGATGGTGGGGGTATGGTGTTGTTGATTAGTAGCAGCCGCCGACTTCCCCGCACCCACTGCAACAGCTCTCGCGCGGGTAGCTGACGATGACAGCGTTGCCTGCAGTCTGACTGTGCCCTCTGTGAGCCGATCACATATCTTCAGCCGCTTGGTGAAACCCGCCTATCACATGTCGGGAGACGGTCTCATTGGGGATTGTGTCTCTGGGACTGCATCGATGAGTGGGAAGCTTACGGGAACCACTTGACACGCATCGATCAATGATACAACGACACCTCGAGCGAGTTTTGAAGAGATGACCCAAACACTCAACCCAACCTACCGGCGCCAGTCTCATTGCTGCTACGCTGGAGAAACGGGAAGTAGGGTGTAGCTATCGGCCTAGCTTACTTTAGGAAAATCATCGTGCTCTACGGGGCAAAGAATTCATATTGACTTAGTGTTTACCAATAGTGGTTGTGCTCGGCTTTTTGATCACCCAATACCGCTTCCACTCACTCGATTTGTTTTTGCTCAAACAAGTGTAGCGCCGGGTATAACTGGTTTGGACCAATCTGCTGTTGAGCTGATGAGGGTCGCAAGGTTTCTCGGGTTCGATCCAGTGACAGGATTGGCTTGAGTAAAAACAAATCGAGTGAGTGGAAGCGGTATGCTTGCTGACTGGAGCCCACGTCCAGAAAGGCCAGTGCCAACAGCACCCATGATGGTGATGGCTTCCGTCATTGCTCTTGGCTTGACAACATGGTGTACTGTGTTAGGCCCAACACGCACGCCACCACGCCGAGTTGGGACTTGAAGTCCAGCTCTTTGTGTTGTTTCGGGCAGGCTCGCATGCTGTTTGCGGGCCATCCCGAGCTACCAAAGCCAATCGAAAGCGTGATCAAAGCATGTAAGCCAGGTTGACCGTTGGAGCGGCAGTCGTGATGACGATGTTTGCCAAACTTGACCTAACCGCCGGCCCGCCGCAGATTTAGTTGACGATTTCTTGCGCTTTGCTTCAGACGTCAGTGATCTGTTATAAGTGCCCTTGCGCTTGTCTGGAAGCTTGAACTCCATCTTCCCTCGCTGGTCTTCGGATCTCTTCATGCTATTTGTTGCAGAAACTGTCTACTAGCAACCTACTCTGTACTTCGAGACTCGATACCGTCCTGCCGAGTAGTCACAACTACATCACAGTCAAACATCATGGCGCCGATCTGTGAACTTGGTTATACCGGAATGGCTGCATCCCCAACACCGAAGTTCTCTCGGAAGAGTGAAACCATGACATCTCCAAAACAGCCCGTGTCCGTCGAGGACAAAGTCCAGGCTGTCGACCGAGTGAGGGAGGAGGCTGGGGGGCGGATCGGCTTCATGGACCTGGCCGTCGAGATCCGCCTACAGATTTACGACTACGTCTACAGCTCACACAGCGTTTGGCACTCCAAGTTGCCACTATGGTATCTGACCCAAGGCAGCGGCCGTCATCTCCTCAAGCCCGTTACCTCGAAAGCTACTATCAAGCCCAGTCCACCACCCTACGGTGATACTCCAAACGACCACAATACCAGCAGCCAAGCTCCCGCTCGCGAACTCCTTTCCGCCCACCGTCCGATGAACTACATCCCAACCGCCCTTCTCTTAGCCTGTCGCCAGATCTACTACGAAGCCCGAACCATCCCCTTCCACGGGAACGAATTCGTTTTCCTATCGTGGCACGACCTCGACGGCGTACAAGCGGCACGGAACTTTCTTAACGATCGCCTCTGTGCAGACTGGCAACGCCAGAGCATACGATACGTGAGGATCGAGCTGGATCTTTCAGATGACAAGAGCGGCAAGGACAATGACGACAGAAACAACAAGAGCGTCAAGAAGGCACAAGCGTGGGAAAAGCTATGTTCCTCGGCCAGCTGGGGCACGGGGCTTCGCGGGATGAGGTTATGCATCGACTGCAAAGACGAAGATCTGATAAAGGGTTCTTTCGCGACGGTGCTTGACGACGGGGCTGAAAGGCCAGAAGAGGAGGAGCTATCATCCCTCGCTTGGATCTTCCGGGGTCTGATGAGGCTGAAAAGGCTAAGGAAACTAGATGTGGAAATCAAAAGGGGACGGAGATATGTGACAGATGACGAGAAAGTCGGGTGGTGCCGGATGTTGGAGGAGCTACTCAACTGTGAAAAGGAAAGGGACGAAGAAGTGGAAGGGAAACGGAGGGATCATATGAAGGTTTCGGTCATGTGCGCGCAGACCTCGTATGATCCGTTCAATTTGGAGCAGGTGTTTGGTAAGATCTCTTATCCTATGATGGCGTGGCCGTTGTATGCTGGGTTTTGAAGAGTGAAGGTTTAGATACTTGGGTGGTGTTGGTGGTGGCGGTGTGCGTGTTGTCGGAGATGATCCCAGATGGGTTGATGTTGCGAGAGAGGAGGACGAGAGAGAGAGAGATGAAGTGATACCTTGTATGGGCGACCAGGTGGTTACCAAGATTGTTTCCCTAACATGATTGGCCGTGTATGCACCTTTGTCGTGTTAGTTTCGCTAACAATAACACCCTTCATTTCCCTTTGCTCAGGGGGGATTGACACGAACATCGCTGACCTGTTACCCCGGCGGGGGTGCCCCTGGTGCCACTGATCAACAATTGGACAACTCGCAAGAGATGAGATGAACAACTGGTCAGTCGAAGAAGAGACAGAACCACAGGCAACTGCTCGCGACATCCGTAACAGCGAGTTCCACGCCGGGAACCCTTTCTTACCTACATGTCTCTATTTACAACCTGAGCATCCGGCGGACGCTTGTAAGGCCTACACATCAGTACTTAAAAGTTTGTTAGCGCGGTCCTTGTGATAGGGGTGTGCAAAACTTAACAAGAAAATAACGGGATAACCACATGCAAAACGGAAAATTTAAGAAAGTGTATGAGATGGAGGAAACGCATCGGGTTGATACCAACTTCTTGCACGAAAATTGGTGGAATATTGGTTGAATTGCAAAGAGTACGTTGTGAAGTCCCAAGCTAACGAATTTACCAGTACTGATGTGTAGAACAACCAAAACATATCTCGCTCGGCAGATTCGTTAGTGCCCGAAGCCCTGCCTCGAAC